CGATTTATTGCAGTAGAGTTATTGTTGCCTGTTCCAGATAACGTAAATTATTCACAATCTTTATATACACATTCTCCAGTTATTGTTGCCTGTTCCAGATAACGTAAATTATTCACAATCTTTATATACACATCCTCCAGTTATTGTTGCCTGTTCCAGATAACGTAAATTATTCACAATCTTTATATACACATCCTCCAGTTATTGTTGCCTGTTCCAGATAAAATGGCGGGTTTTTGGTATTCCTTCGTATACATCTTTTAAAATTGGCCCATCAGTTTATCAGAAAACGTCTGAAAGTTATTACGAGTAATATTCTTTTAATAGTCTGTCAATTCCACTTTCAAAGTTAAGGTTGCGCATGCTCAACGACACCGCTAAAATTCGCAGGAAGGAACACGTTCCGTGCTATAAAAATATCTTCAAAGAAAAAACTAATTTTTCATTAAAATGCACGAATGAATTTAAAGGAAAATTACACTAACAACAAAATTTTCAACTTCATTCACAATTTACTATAATTTCATGTTTTCCAAATAAAATATTATATTTAAAAGTATTTTAACTTTAATAAAATTATTATATGGGAAATGCTGCTACACATTAAGCTCACTTCTAAAAGAACTCCATGGGTCGTCTTTATCTTTGAGTTTTATAACAACTTGAGGAATTAAAAGAAAAGTGTATATTTTCAATGTCTGATAAAAGTGTTAACATTTTACTTTTAAAGGTGAGTAGCATTATTTATTTTTATTTTCACCACATCCTATACACGTTACACCACCTCACACAGATTACACCATCCTACGAAAACGTTTGTTTGAAATCAAAGCCACATTGGGCTGTGTGTGTTCGGCACGGGATATCGAACCCCGAATTTTATCATCGTAAATATAACACCTTGCTTGTATGTTGTAGATACTTGTTTTTGTTACATAGCAGCGTGCTGTTTTCAGAACACTGCACGACAACAAGTTTCGTGTAACCCTAAAACGTTACCCTAATAAAGAAATCCGATCACATCTTCATCAGTGTGACACGGTCGACGTGTGGTAATTGTTAAATGTCGTGAGGAACAAACCTTAGTATTTTTACTCACTAATATATACCTAGCTCGTTGTTTTTAACAAATATTTTTGAATTATTAACACGTGTTTCTGGACATTTCGGTAACTTAAAGTTGTATTCAGGTTTGTTGAGTATGTAGATTAAGGTTTGATACTTTCGGAAAGTTTGAAGTTTTATTATACTTATCGAATGAAATGTTCTCGTGCTAACTTTACAACGATACGTCATTACTAACCCTAACGAAGGTGACTTCTACTGTTATAAATCGTGCTAACTTTACGGTGCACAGTACAACGATACGTCATTACTAACCCTAACGACGGTGACGTGGAGAATATGTATAGGAAGATTGTGAATAATTTACGTTATCTGGAACAGGCAACAATAACTGGAGGATATGTATAGGAAGACTGAATAATTTACGTTATCTGGAACAGGCAACAATAACTGGAGGATGTGTATATAAAGATTGTGAATAATTCACGTTATCTGGAACAGGCAACAATAACTGGAGGATATGTGTATAAATACTATATCCAACTCACACAAAAGAAATTGGAAAATCACAAACATA